GAACTCTTCACCCGCATGTCGAGACTGAAAAGAAAGGATTACATATTGAGAGTGACTCTATTTTTCAGCGGCGAATTTTCCCTTTTGGAAATCACTCACGAGCAATGTACCGTCAACATCATGATTCCTTATCAGTATGCGGGCTTTCTGTTTGCCAATAGTGCCACGTTTCCCAAGTTTGTCACCGGGGAGGGGACCACGCCGGTATCACAATGATTGATTCGAACTTGTCGCGAGCAAACCTCTGATGGGCAGGTTCGATGAAATGGACATTAATATTATGAGATAATAATTGTGGGAGCAAGCGCGCTTAAAGCTGATATTACTGTGCGTTCTCTAAAAAGCTTCTCCTATAATTGAAAAAAAGTCTCGGAACAACGAAGTTTGCACGAAATGGAAGGAGAGAAGGAAGAAGGATGTCTTTGCGGCATTTTTCTCGACAGCTCTCGAGCTTTCTCCCGCAACATATCGTTCCCTTTGTTCGCTTTGTAATTTTTAAACCTCAATTGATTTTATTCAGCCGCGATGAAATGCGATGAAATGAGATAATTGCTCGCCGCGAATCGATAAAAGTTGTTTCGCAAAACAGGCGTGTAATATAACTGAATCTGCCTACGGTAGATTAGACGTTCATTTTGAACGTTTGCGTTTGAAAGTAATTATTCAGTTCCGTTACTTTGTATCGAATGCTCGCGGTTAATAGCGAGCTCAGTTATTATTCGTGACTGGTGATTTGTATTCGCGCGGGAGCGCTGGAGCAACGGCTGAAAGAAAATACGAGGCGCGGCATTAATTCCGAGCGATTGCCCCTCACTTTCCGTGACCAATGGGAATCTGGTTTCATCTGGCTCCCAACTAAGCGCATATTACCTACGCATCACGCACGAGCGCACTACTCGCTCGACCCTGAATAAAACCTTCGTCTTCCGTGGTCGACTTGCACCGATCGGTATCCGCCAATATGTATATGTATGTATATATATATGTATATGTATATGTATATATATATATATATATATATATATATATATATATATATATATATATATATATATATATATATATATATATATATATATATATATATATATATATATATATATATATATATATATATATATATATATATATATATATATCCCCTTTAACGACCTATATAATTCGCGAACAATGTATTCTTTGCAAAGTATTCAAAATATTACTAGATGATCCGTTTTTCTTGTTATTTTTGTATTGGGTACTAAAAGATATTGGTACGATTTGATTAGCATCACCATGGCTTTATTCATGTCAATATATTATTTGTCTGTCAATGTTTTATTTCAATATATTAATTACATGTATTATTGAGAAAGCAAAACACGGCAATTACATTTTTTGCAGTTACCAATTTTTATCAAGTTTTGGTTCGCTATACCAAATTTTTCTCTTCTCAACAACAAAATCCTTTTTTCAATATATGTCCCGGATTTTTTTCAATGCTATCCGGGAAGCGCCGATTTATTCCAGATTCGATCAAACTGTTTATTCGATTTAGAGGATTTCGAAAATCTTTCTGACAAAGAGAAGAAACATTTTCAGGAAAATTCATGACTCTAGAATATACAGCAACTTTTCTTTTTCTTTTTAATTTTTAGTAAAGATAACAATAGTTTTGTCTTAGTAGCAGTTCTTATCTTTACTGTATGTAGGCCTCATATGTGTATATATAAATAATTTTCAGCAATCTACCTCCTCGCTTCACACATTTATGAGGTGTCTCGGATTTAGAGGCTGGGAAATCAGTTATCTCGCCCGTTTTGATCCGTTACATCGGGATTCACCCTTCTCTATTCTTCCCGTGGCTACGCCACGATCACGTGCACGTGCACGGGTTTTTTATAGATTTGCGAATTGTGCAGATGTGTGAAATGTGATATGTCGTGCGATTTCTGTAACTCTCTTTGAAGAACTTGACATACCAGCTCGCAGTTCTGTCGATTCTCTTTTTGACAACAAATCTACCCACCCTCCCTATCAACTTACCTACCTACCTACCTAGCTCTACTCAAAGTGCACTCGAGTGACGCGCGAATCGCTTGGAAGATCGCTGGCGCGGTGTTGTTCCTGTCGCCGGTTGATGCTGTTGTTGGAACGGCATAACGCCGACACGTCGCGTCGCCGGAAACTGGGTTCTATCGATTTTGTATCAGTTCCTGGCATCTCTTGCGGGATGCACGGAGGTGCGCGCGGGCGCGAGTGCACGCATGCATGGCGTACGCACGCACGCACATCAGCACGCACGTACCGTCGTGCCACAACGCCAGAGGCGTGCAGTTGTCGTAGGTGCTCATACGTGAGCACGTATGTACGATAGTTGCACTCGCTACCTCCTGCCCCTTCTCCTCTTCTGCCAGCACGGCGATAAAACAATGCGGGGAGGGTAATAGCGAGTGGGTGATGGTGAGTCTACCTTCGATTTCGGGCGTCCTAAAGCCGCCCTCCTAACGTCGCTGCCTCCGTCTGCAATTCAGCCGCGAGCTGGATGCCTGACTATTGTCCCCGGGTGGGTTTATGTAGGTCGTATTGGATCAATTGTGTGTCTTCTCGCGAACTATTAAATCATAGAGACGTCATAAATCATAAGCGATGGGACGTGAGACGTCGGATATCCGAATAGGGGCGGCATCGATGATTAATTGCTTAACGATAACTTTAAATTATAAACAGTTGGCGTGATAGCACTGTGTGGCTGTATTTGTGTGTCTCTCGATAGTATCCGGACAGACAAATGAACAACGAAGACCTCTCGGCTCTTAGCTCTGTGGAATCTCAGTTTAGTCAGACTGTTTTAACGGCAATTTTATTCGAGGCTCAATCAAATATAGATTAATGCGAATGGTTCTTCAGAACGTTTAATAATTTTGCTCAAAAGAAGCTTCAACTCATTCACCTGCCATCGAAGAGATACTTGGACTTTCACGAGCGAAATATCCGGGGCAGAGTACGGTAGGCGTCTCGCAATTCTCAACCGCGAATGGAAAAAGAAGGCGCGAAGGGAGCTCAGGGGACCGCTCATGAAAGCCTTCTGCGCGGTGCTCGCCGTGATGCTTCGAAATTGGGGATTTCATCGAGGCCGCGCACGCGTAATCAGTAAGCAGCCGCGCGCGACCTCCGCGCGACGATCCTCGGCCTGGCATGGAATCGTAAGATAGACTTACCTGAGCCGCCGGAAAATGTCATTATCGGGCCCGGTGTCTCGTGAAACCGATTCGAATCGGCGCTCGTTACGCCCGCACCCCGAACGGACACTCGACCTCATTGAAAGGATCTCGAGAGCGTCCTTTCAGACCAGCGATCCTTAATTAATCTGGAAATCGAATCGAGAGAAGAGGAGAGAAGCAAGCAAGGAAGGAAGGAAGGAAGGAAGCAAGGAAGCAAGGAAGGAAGGAGAGGATCCGCAGATTCGTGCCGATAGATCGGATCGAAGGGTGGGCGAGCGAGGGGTCGTTTGGTGAATCCGAGACGGTTTATGTGACCGCCCAACCCTTCTTCCAACGACTCTCCCTCCGGGGATCCTCCTCTCGCTAATTTCTCCTTTTATTGTTTACCCCGTTCCGAGAGTCGACTCTCCTTTGGCGTCTTAAACTGCTCTTATCTCGTCGGGCTTTATTACTTGCGCAAATTATGTATACCGGTTCGTGACGACTCTTCTGGCAAAAGGAAGCTATCGGATCGCGGAATCCTTGAATGGCCATATTGCGCCTTTCTCTTTTTCCCCCTTCTTTCCGTATTTATTAACTCACTTCGTGCTACGACGATGACTATAGGACGTAATTGTGAATATAATACTTTGCACTAGGACCCGCGTACAAATGAATCCACCCACATAGACTTCCACGATTATCACGACGTGAGACAATCGATGATGTGTGTGTGTGTGTGTGTGTGTGTGTGTGTGTGTGTGTGAGATGTCTACAATTATACTTATGAGAGGCAAATATAAGGTGCTGAATTAATCATTAAATTTGCTTTATGTACAATGATGTCAATTCTGTATTATATTGATATAGCAAAAATTTACTCGAAATTGAAATGTTTATATTACGTTTATATTACGTTTCGACATATTATTTCCACAGCAAGTTTCCATTATTTTTTCATATTTCTTTCGTATTTCTATTTCGTCATACTATGTAATAAATATCTAGACAGATAAGAGCATATAATTTTTACAAGCAGCTTTATTAGTATTTATAAAGATTGCGTCCTGTATGAATGGCTCGTATGGTACTCATATTTATCACACAAAATCATGAAATATGAATACGAAAGAGATACGAAAAAATTTATGAAAATTTGCTTCAAACAATAACATGTAAATGCAATATGAAAATATTAGTGTAATTTTTAATATATTCGTTGTCGAATATATAATACAACATAGTTAATACAATAAAAAATTTGCATCATCGTATGACGTAAATTTAATAATCAATTCGATACAGAATACTTACTTCATAAATATAATTGAAGGAATTGTAAAATTTCCATCATTGATGATTTTACGTCGTGATAACCGTAAAAGTATATTTAGATATCAGTACTGTGCATTCGTAGGAACCATTTATAGGAGATGCAACCTTTACAAATCGACTAGCAAAATTATTGCTGGATCTACGTCTATCTGGATGTGTAGATTCAATTGATCGTAGTTCTAGAACGCTCGACGTAGGCTTGTATTAATAGCCATTACTCGAAACTTGTCTTACGTGAGATCCTCAGATCTGGATTTAGAGTTAGGTGAGAATGTTTTTTTAATTATATAATACACGTGACATTGCATTCGCACGATTCATTGAATCGTGATTCAATTAAAAACTCACGTCTAACTTTAAATTAGAACCCAAGTGTCTCACCTTCAGAGGTGAGTTTCAGGTAATGACTATTAATACGAGCCATAGAGATTATCGCGTTCGCTGGGGATGCGTGTCTGGTTAAGGAAGGACACAGTGGCCGACTAGATTAAATTATTTTATTACTGCAATCACTTCGATGATAACGACAAGACTTGGATTCATGTAAAATTACAGTGGAACAAAGGCATATCCCTTACGCATACGCAGAATCTCGCCCACCGTCGAGGAAGATCGGATGTGGAAAATATAGTCGAATTAACCACACAATTATACACTATATACGTCGACGTCGAGCCGTACACACCTAGAGGGGTGAGGGATCGCGGCTCGCACACACATCTATATTTATTAAACTATACTTCTGGTCTGACTTTAGTTGATATTTCGGGCCGCGACGTTTTTCCCGCCGCGCCGTTCTCCTCTCGCGCGAATTCCGATTAACTCTCACCTCTTTCGTACGTTTCTTTCATCTCGTTTACTTTCATCGTATTCTCTCCGTTATCCACCCTTCTTCCCTCCCTCCCTCCTTCTTTTCGCCCTCGCGTTAATTATACGCGATAACCTGTAACGCTAATCCACAATTATACACTATGTACAACGCCATGCGTCCGCGTTTCGACCTACTTTACGCAGTAGTGATGTATTGCTATCGTCGTACCTCCGAATAATCCGCTAGGTTATATATACGAGGTGTCCTAACACGGTGTATACATGCGAGTGAACGTGTACAGGGTACGCGAAGATTCGGAACGCCGAACGTGATGCTCACAGGCATCGCGGGTACCCTGGGGACCGCTCGCGCACGATCGTCGATTAACACACAGGCAGAGAGATAGAAGCCGATGACGATCGTCGACAACGATACCGCGACACTTTCCCGATGACGAGGGCGACAAGTGGAGACGTATGCAGCGTGTATAGCACTAAATATAGTACGAACTTGAAAGATAATCGCGGTAGCTGACGACGCGGATCCCGGTGCCGTCGAGCGCCGTACGCGGATACGTACGTACGTGGTGCATTAGAGAAATCGGGGAACGCCGCGACGCACGACGTGAATCACCAGCGTCGTCCAGCAGATCAGGCCCGGGCAGGTGCTTACGCTCGGCCACGAGCCCGACTTCGGGGGTTCCTGGGCGAGACGCTGGTTACTGGCTGCCAGAGTGGCGATTTCGATTGTCTTGAGCACTTGAACATTCGCGATGCCCGGCAGCGCCGATTGGCAGGTCAGGCTGAGGGCGCCGCCAGGAAAGTGGGCTCGTTCCAAGCGTAACGTCAGGCCCAGTCTCGTCGTCGAGACCACGCTTCCGTCTATGGTGCCGCTCATCGGCAAGGTTTTGGTTAAAGCTCTGTTCACCTGTCGGAAATCAGAGTTGCAGAGTGCGGCAGCTGAGTATTATAATCGAGTAGCGCGAAGCGAATGTTCCAAACGAGGGGATACTGGAATTGAACTCTTTACCGACAGGATACTAATATTATTTTTCGAAGTTAACGTTGCATTGGTTGCATAGAATTACAAATGCTCTTACATGATATAAATATTATATTAGGTGTACAACTTTGCTTTCGCCATTTTCCTATAGATGGCTTTAGCGGTAAGTGGTGGTCGAAATAAATAGATCATAGACGTCATACAATAAACTTGGGCATCTGTCAACATAACCCCATAAAAACATTAGTCGATTTGTGTCTGCATCATAAAGTTATTCTCGATTGAAAATGTCAGTTTACGAGCCAAATTCTCGTCATTTGCGGGAGGTTTTAATTTTCTGCTTCAATATGAAGAAATCTGCGGCTGAGGCTCATCGAATGCTCTCAAATACTTATGGTGAGGCCGCTATTAGTGAAATAACGTGTCATGAGTGGGGTTTCAACGCTTCAAGAACGGTGATTTTGACGTCGAAGACCGGCATAGCGGTGGAAGAGAGAAAGTTTTCGAAGATGCAGAATTGGAGGCATTACTTGATCAAGACTCGTGTCAAAATCAAGAAGAATTGGCACGATCATTGGGAGTGACTCAACAAGCCATTTCAAAACGCCTCAAAGCCATGGGAATGATTCAGAAGCAAGGAAATTGGGTGCCGTACGAATTGAAGCCGAGAGATGTTGAACGGCGTTTGTTTGCTTGTGAACAGCTGCTTGAAAGGCAAAGACGGAAGGGATTTCTGCATCGCATTGTGACTGGGGACGAAAAATGGGTTCATTACGATAACCCCAAGCGCAGAAAATCATGGGGAGTTCCCGGCCATGCTTCCACGTCGACGGCCAAACCGAATATTCACGGCTCCAAGGTCATGCTCTGTATTTGGTGGGACCAGCTCGGCGTAGTGTATTATGAGCTGTTAAAACCGACTGAAACAATCACAGGCGATCGGTATCGAACGCAATTGATGCGTTTGAGCCGAGCATTGAAAGACAAACGGCCGCAATACAACGAGAGACACGATAAAGTGATTTTGCAGCATGACAATGCTCGACCCCATGTTGCGAAAGTGGTCAAAACATACTTGGAAACGTTGAAATGGGAAGTCCTACCCTACCCGCCGTATTCTCCAGACGTTGCTTCCTCTGACTATCACTTGTTTCGATCAATGGCACACGGCCTGGCTGACCAGCATTTCCGGTCTTATGAAGAAGTAAAAAATTGAATCGATTCGTGGATCGCCTAAAAAAATGACCAGTTTTTTCGACGCGGGATTCGTACGCTGCCCGAAAGATGGGAGAAAGTAGTAGCCAGCGATGGACAATACTTTGAATCATAAATGTATAACCAGTTTTTTACAATAAAGCCTCGAATTTCGGAAAAAAAACGGCGGAAGCAAAGTTGTACACCTAATACATGTGGGAATTAATAAGGAGCATTACTCAATATGTGACAAAGTCGAGAAAAATTTTAAAGTTGACATTTCGAGTGTTAGCCTGTCACACGTTGTCAATCAAAGTAAATATTCGCCTGATACAAAAGATCTGTAATTATAGGAGATGAGATCTTTGTAAAAGTTTGACTCTTGCGTTTCTTGAGAGATGACTGCAGTCTTAAAATGTCGCGCGTGCAATTTTTTTCCCTAATTTTTCTCTCGACTCACGACTTTTGTTACGCGAACACTCGCGAATGCGGCGCGTGTTCTCGCGGGTTTATTCCCGAGAAGTTAATTTGCGACGTTCTGTACACCCGTGTTTGTTGGGACCTGAACATGCGGCCGGCGAGCGAAATAAAAACGCCCACGTGAAGTGGTCTCGCTTGACAAATTGTCGCTGAATAAACCGAGTAGTGCCCTCTCCCTTCGCGAATGACGTGCGCGGCGTAGCATTGAATAATGGGAGTTATGTGGTTTCCAGTTTCGCCATGTTCGCGTAACAGCGCGAAAGCGAGCTTTTTGAAGATGAATTACACCGCACGATTAATTACGAAATTTTCGCTCCATTCATATCAGCTATCGCTGCGCGCAGTATCTTGAAGTCGCCGGATAATATTTCAGTGACGTATTTCGACCAATTTCGAGCGCCAGTATTGCACCTGATAATGACGCGAAGGCGCCAGCAGTGTATTTGTCTTATGAGTCGTAGATAATATATAAACTTAACATAAATCCCGTTACTCACTGTGCAATCTCGCCTGAACGGCTTATTTACCGGATCTTTTGCTTAACGGAATATTCACCTGAGGTGCAGTCACAAAGAAGTGTCACGTTGAGAATTGCCGAGGTCGCCGATCGGAAATTCTTTTTATAAGCGCGTGAAAGCTCAAAATCCTTTACTCTTTTCGCTCAATCGCGCGTGAAATTTTACTTCGACGAAATATTTACCGGAGACGTGTTTATGAGAAAAAATTTCAGATAAAAATTGCAGAGCGTCGCCAATTGACAATTTTCTTTAAGCGCTTAGAAGATTAATCCTTTATTTGGTAATGTTGCTCTCGAGTAACACTGATTTCTTATAAACTATATGCAAAAACGATAAATGCAGGATATATTGATTTCAGCACTGTTGTCCTGAAACACTATCTGGTTACTTGTTCTGTTCATTGATGTTTCAGTAATTTTAATTTTTATTATTGTATGATAGAAATCATTGAAAATAAGCGATATTTAAAAAAATATATATAACTGCATTCAAGAGACATCTCGTCGACTTCATTTAAACACTCAAAAATGTTTTCCTTGAAACTTTTTGCCAAATGAAGGATTAAATACTCTCTTTAATCACTTTCTTAACTGCATGAATATTTGTTGAATATTTTGTTGTAATGAAATATTTGACAGTAGCGCAATCACCGAGAAATCTCACGTTAAAAATCACCGAGCGACAGTCGATTGGTAATTTCTTTTTTAGCGTGCGAAAGAGATTAAAAGTGCGGCGTCTCGCGTGATATTCAGAACATCAGAAGGCCATCGCGCGAGTCACGCTATCACTTTGTGCTCATGCGACCTCTCGAAAGTTTAACTAGCGGAACGCTCGCGCATCTCGTTTGCTCCCTCGTGAACATCATCGACTCACCTCTTTACCGTTCAAGATGAACGTTAAAACTGCTGGAGGGTAACTTAACCCCGACGTGCATTCCGCCTCGAGGATCTCTCCGACCTCGTAAGAAGGTCGTACTCCTTCGAGTGCCGGGGCAGTCTTGGGTGGTACAGCTACACTCATATTCGCTTCGTCATAGGCAGTGAGAAAGCTCGGCGCTTCAGACGACACCTCGCAGCCGTAGGTGCCCGCCAGATCGACTTCACCTGCGATATCAAATGAAAGTGTAAAAGACGTACAAGGAAAGAATGTTATAGAGATGTCAAAGATCACTACGGAATTTTGTAACCGGGGAATAGATCGACATTTCGCAGTGATTCGATATCCTTTCATTTCGCAAGTGTCACTCGTACTTCATAAACTGAAATGCTCTGTTAAAACACTTGCTTAATTTATAGCGGAATTTACTATATTTTTTGATAAGATGGATACTTTATTCCTCTATTCCCTATTTGAAACATAGTAGAATTGAAAAGAATTTGTATAAAAAAAAGAGAACCTATAATATTCTCTCCGTGTATGTAAAACGACAGAAACGTTTTCTTCTCACGTCTCTCGACATATTTCGATGGTGACACGTGAGTCTTGACGAGCGACGATGAAATGCAATTATCTTCCCGAAGAGCGAAACCGTCCGCTCCAACCTTTGGAATTTAACTTGGACCTTTACATTACAACCAGAATTTCATACGAAAACAGAGACTGAAGGTGCACACGTTCTCCCTTTATCTCTCATGCGCGCGTACGCAAGAGAGATAGAGAGAGATAGAAATTCGTTTTTAATACGGAGAGAGGTACGTGCGAGGACGTATGACGCTCTGTAATTCACGTTTGTAAATTGACGTCGCACCTCTTCGGTCGGCATGCGCTTGACCTAGAAGTGTCACTTGCTTGTTGTCACTCTGGCTGACGTCGACGAACACGCCTTTGACAGTGTAGTCCCTCCCGGTCGGTGTCGATCCCGGCATGAATCGGAAGAATTCGTCCCCGTCTTTGTACCACTTGACGGAATACAGCTCGTCGCCGTGGAGATCGTATACGCATTTCAACGACACCTTCTCCCATCTTGGGTCTACAATGCTGGGTACTTCCAGCTTCAGTAGTTGTAGCGCCGCGGCTGTATCATTAAAGACAATCATATTATTTCGCGCGTCTAAAGATGTATACGTTTCAACTCCCAAAAGGACGGGGAAGTTTTTCTGGAAAAATTGAAATTTTCTGAAATTTGTTTAAAATTCGTATACGAGGTTCTTCGAGGCCGCGTTGATTACGAATTTGAAGTTAGAATTTCAAAATTTAAAATGTCGGATTCAACACTGCAAATTTTCATATTTTTTATCAATATATATGAAAATAAAATCATACAGGTTCTTGGGATCGCTGATTACGAATCTGCGATCAGAGTTGCAAGATTAAAAATGTTCCATCGTTTCGAACGAAACAAAAGAGTATTACATGGTACTGCCCATCCTTTAGGGGTTAAATAACGTCCAATTTGCTTAAGCTACAGGCTTTTAAAAATGAATATTAGGAGCAAATTATTATTTCGAAATTTTCGATGTTCGAATGAACATCAGGGTTGTGAGGTGAATATTTTTTCTAGTGAATTTTCTCGCAAAAAAAGGGGTGAGCAAAGCCGGGATTTCGCATTTGTCGGTCCCAATGCGCGTTGCTTATTCATATCATCAATCAGAACAAGCGGCTGCGATTTCGGGACAATTCGGACGGCAACATCGGGGTCGACCGACAATTATAAAAACTGACGTTGAAAATTCGGCGCTCGGAGCCGGATTCCGGGAAAACACGGGTTATTAGCGAGAAATTTCGGCCGCGCGATGGAGAGATCCCGACGGGAAATGGCTCCGCGATCGTTGACGTGCGCACATTAATTTATTTATCGTGCATCCGCAGGACGATCGGGACAAATACGGTGGTAATTAAAAATATTCGATCAACCGGATGCAATCGAGTGCTCCAAAGCGGGTGGAAATTTAAAGTGGCCGCGCGAGCCAATTATGATGGCGCGAGGCCCCTTCAGAGTAGCGATGAAAAATTCACGTAGCGTTGCCTACTTTTTACGTGGCGAAAACAACTGTAAAATTCACGAAAAGTCTGCAGAGAGTTCCGCGCGCGCAAATGAAATAACAGCCGAACGCGACGATATTAATTTTCGCGTGATTCGCAACCGGATACATGAAAAACCGCGACAGAGTGCGACTCTCTAAACATCAATTCGCGGAGTAACTCCGTTCTATAAATAATAATCCGTATTAATATAAATTAATAATGCACCCTTTGGTCAAGCATTTTGCCGATATAGTTGCTTTGAGTAGGGGAGACTGGATCTAGAAGGCTCCAGAGATATTTTGCTCATATGCTTTTCCTTAATATTTATCTTGAGAGGAACAATGAATGTGTACAAAATCGCGAAATGATCCTTTTAGGACATATATACATTTCCCTGAGTTTCATTAAAATCGACAGAATATTACAGTTAAGGGTGGTCAGCCGAGAACTCCGCGTTGATAGTTATAAACTCGTGATATGGTTATAAATTCTGAATGAAGTTTCTTGCAAGTATATGATATGCTGTTTCGAATAATGAGAGCAATTTTCATTCATAAAATGTTCGCAGTCGAGCATATAAACGAACGAGATAAAGTTGGCCCGCAATAAAAGGCCGACAGGAGAGCTGTAAAGAGCTCTCGCGGAAATGTCGAAACTGCTAATCAAAATGCATATTTTATATGTGGCCTTCTTACTCTGCACTACTGAGAAACTAAACGCGGTGCCGGGACAAGATGGCCACGTTGTCATACGTTTGTATTTTGGTTATTGCAAAACAAAATATGCGGAAACAGGATCACGGCGAGCAGTGACACATAGACGAAGGCTGCTTCTATCATGTTTGTGCAGTCAGTCACAGCAATTAGTTGCCTGAGAAGTGTTGTAACTTCGAAATTCTGGAATGTGGGACGTCCAGCCCCGCTCTCTCCTACTTTGAGTCTCGTCTCGGGCGAGGACCTGAAATGCGAAGATATGAAGGTATACGACCCCGCGGGGGTCGCTGACCTTTTTTCTAATCTTCTTCGTACGACCGGCGCAATTAAGAATTAACGATACACTGGGGACGATATATTGGAAGGACCTGTCAAGGCAATCGCCGTACCGTGTCACTGGAAAGGTGCTCTCTCTCTCCGTTCCGAATCTCTCCGATATATTATTCAGTGACACACATATCTCTGCGTCTGCCTCGGGAATATATATTGCTGATACTATATGTATCATTATATTTTTTCTCTCAAATAGACAGCACGCGAATGGTTTCGCGATTGATACCGTGAAATATTGAAGTCCGTTCTATTTAGGTAATTCTCGCCCCTGGCGCCACCCTTATCCGCAAGTATATAACACGCGTCGCGCGTGTCGAAATGTTTGAGAACAATTAGAAGAATGAAATAGACCGGTGTGGGTGTTGTCTTTTTACTCGCGTAACGTTTCCGCACAAACATACACACACGTATACATTCGCGCATATATCTCGTGGCGTTTATTGATTTATTTCGAGCAACATTCTGTGTTTTGCTAACACTCGATTTTACAATGCGTCGTCATTTTATATTGCTTTAAACATTGTTGCGTATTTTTCTTCCGTTTTTCTTTTTTATTATTAAGTAAGCTAGTCCACAAAACCAACATATCGAGCTGAAAGCTTGATATTCAACTGATATTTTATCTTTCCGCCGCGCGCCACGCGATACGTGGTATCTGTTTCACTGTGTCTTCACGTGCACTGTGAATTATTTTTATCGTGCACTAGTCTGATAGTTTTTGTTGACGTACACACACATACACATGCGCACGCGCGCGATGAAAGCTCGTCTCCTCCCCCCCCCCCCC